ACGAGCCGTGTGGTGTTGGTCTGTCTAATCTTGAACAAAGTTTATTTTATTGTCTTGTATGAAACACACGATAACTTAATTACATTAACAAATTAGTATGTTTGTATAGTAATTTCGATAAAAGATTCCTAGAAAAGTTAGAGACCTTTGAGAAAGAGCAGGTAGAGAAAAAGGGAAGAAAAATATTTTTAAAATGTAATGGTTTCTTAAACAAATACTTCCGACTAAAGGGAAATCTTTTCATATTGTGATGGTTTCTAAAACGAATATATTCAACTAACTGCCCCATTGTATTTGGCCTTTCTTCTTTCTTTTGACCTTTTTCTTGTTTGTCCACAAATCAATAAAATGATTTAGAGTTATCATGTCATCGAATCCTAAAGATCTTCTGGACAAAATTTATGCGGAGTAGGACCTAGGATTTAAAGGTCGTAGGTGTACTTTTGCATTCAACTAATATCTGTTATATATATAAAATTCTACTACTAATATATTACTTTTTTTTTAAATACATATATATGTATATATGAATTTTTTGCCGATCTTTACAATGTAGTCGGCCTCTGGATTTATGGGCCTTTTTAGAACCCGTTTGAATTGGTTTAAGAAAAGTGGCTTTTCAGCAGAATATCTTTTAAGCAAAAAAATAATAAGTTGGCGTTGCCCAGTTTGTTGTTTGAAAAAGCTAAAAAGAGATTAAAAGTTGATTAGACCAGCTTAAAACCAATCCAAACATCCTCTAATTGGCAGTGGGTGAAATTTTGTGGTCAAATTTTCGCCTATTGTTCCTTTATGTATCAAACTGTTTAATAAATAACTTTCTTCTTATTTTCTATACTAAATAGGAGTAAGGTCTACGTACATATTAGCTTCCTCATATGAATCTTTGGGATTAAACTAAGTTTCTTCTTCTTATTGTTGTTGTATGTATACGTGTGTAGAGAGTGTAAGATAAGATTCTATATAAGATTGTGGTTCTTGTCATGACTTTATTTAACTTCCCAGCATTAGATCAAATATTGTTGAGAATATGTGGCAGCTGGAGATTGTTGGCTTTTAAATGTGTGATTGTGCATAAAAATGCCATTCTTTAAGATGGATTTGGATGGTGGGAATGCCAGCTCTCTTGAGGAAAGGACTAAATAGGTCAGCTCCAAATTACAAGAAATTACAGATGAGGATGGTAATATGACTAGGAAGTTTGCTTTTCAAGCAGCTAAAGGGCATTTTTTTTTTGGAAAATTCTCAGGGTAACGTAGCCGCTACTCTTCGGGTGTGCACTGGGTAACCTGTTTACTGTGCAGTAGTTCGCAAATTATACAAAAAATATAAACTGTACTAGACAAGCTCGGTGCGACGAGCTCTGACGGAGAGGTTGCTGGTGAGAGAAATAACCCCAAGCTCACCCAAACTCAGTCAACCATTGCGGGCAGGGGCGGAGGTACGTTGAGCCAAGCGGTGTCACCCGACACTGCTTGGCCAATTTTTTTTATTTATTAATATTTATGTAAATAATCTGCAAAAGGAAATATAGTCTAAATATAATAAATGGCACAACTTGACGTTAAAAACTATATTGGCCCGTTGGTGAAGCAATTCAGTTTCTGCTTGTGGTCAAGCGTTCAACTCCCCACGAAGATAACAATTTTTTCTTAATATTTTAGTATTCTTCTGGAAATATTTTGAAAGAAGCAGCGTCCTACGGATTCGAATGGATAATGAGCCATTGAGTAAATGTTTGCTGCCTTAGGCCATCTCCAATGGTACTCTATTTTTTGCACCAAATTATTAGCCATTGAGTAAATGTTTGCTGCCTTAGGCCATTTCCAATGGTACTCTATTTTTTGCACCAAATCCAAATTTGGTGCAAGAAATAGAGTAAAATTGCTTCAATGGTACTCTANTGCCACTCTATATCTTGCAGAAAGTATTTTTGCTCTAATGCAACACCATTTTTTGCTCTATTATAGAGCATGAATAGTGTTGCACCAAATTTGGTGCAACACTATTCATTACTCTATATTTGGTTTAATAATATTTTTTTTTTATTGTTGAACTTTTAATTAATTATATATTGTGTATATAATTAATTTTTATATTAAGATTTTTATATCCTATTTTTTGATATATTAATTTTTGTATATATTATATTTATATAAAATTATAAGTTAATTTGACTATGATGTAATATTTATTTAATTATGTTTTATTAATGATTTCACTTTTTGTTAATTTATCCTTTATGTAAAATTTTGTAATAAATGATTATATAAGTGGTGAATGTGAATTATATATAATGAAGATGGAAAAAAGAAAAAAGATAGTATTAGTTTGAAGGAAATAAAAAATGAAAAGTAAATAGAAGATAATAATATAATATAGAAGAGAGAGAAAATTTGGTGTAAAAAATAGTGTGATTGTTGGAGTAGATTTGGTGTTGCACCATTTTAGAGTAGAAAATGGTGCAAAAAATAGAGTGATTGTTGGAGATGCCCTTATATAGAATTTTTCTTTTTGGTAATATTTGTACTGAGTCTATTATGAGTACATTTTATAAAAATAAAAGTTCGTGGGGGAGAACTGTACTACTATATTTGAATTGTGTTTTTCTAAAGTATGATTTTATTAAAGTAATCTCTTCATTTGTACGTCTTTCTAAATTTCGACGCCGCTTACAAAAAATTTTACGTACGCTCCCTGATTGCGGGCTAGCTGTTCCTTATGTTGAGTTATTGCAACTTGGGATCTCAACTTGATAATGTAATGCTAAATAAGTTAAATGTTGAGAAATTTTTAGATTTTGTGGAATATTTTATTTTGTCTTCTAGTTGGAAGACAGAAGCCAAAACAAGAAACAACTGGCACAAAGTCCAAGATAAATTTTCTGTTCAATTTGCTACTGCTTATGCAAGTGAAAAGGTTATGTTCTGATTCTATCTAATCCAAAACTCGTTGAAACACGGTATTTGGCAACTCACGGATAATGACGAGAACCAATTGTGAAGAAGTAAATCTGTACTCCATCCGTTTTAAAGATTGTCTTTGAGAGTGTTTGGATATAAGAATTATAAAATTCTGACAAAAAGTTTTTCTTTTTTTTTTTAAAAAAAATTCAGGTGAAAATAATATTTGAAAATTAGAGTTATATTTGGACATAAATATAATTTTTGGTTGTTTTTTATTTTGATGAGTGATCTAAGTGAAAATTTTGAAAAACAGTTTTTTTGGAGTTTTTCAAATTTTCGAAAAATTCTAAGATTCATCTTCATGTGAAAATTAGAAATTATGCCCAAATACTGATTTCTACAAAAAGTGAAAAAATTTCAAAAAAAGTGAAAAAAAAATTCATGACCAAACGGGCTCTTAGTTTGACTTGACATAAGTTTTAATAACGAAGATAAGACTTTTGAGATATGTATTTAAATAAGCCATAATATTTTATGTAGCTATAAAACTTTTGAAATTTGTGGTCTGAAACTTGTCATATCACTTGTGTGGCTATAAATACTTTTTATTAAGAAAAGTTGAAAGGTGCCCATCTTTTTGAAATGAACTAATAAGAAAACAGTGCCAATCTTTTTGAAACAGAATTAGTATTAGTAGTAATAATTTTCAAAATGAAAATGACAAGTTGGTGTAGAGTAGGGAATAGTAGTTTTTTCTTCTTCTTTTTCAATTGGTTGAATATACGATCTACATTTGGTTCAAGGTATTTTCTCTCTATATTTCTTCATAAAAGCAGGGATTTTTCAACATTGATTTTAATCGATTTCAACTCAACTGTTTTATCAGCAAATCGACCAATGATTCCCACGGCAAAGACGAATTTTAGATAGAGGAGGTGGATAAGAGTAGGTGGTTTTAGCCTTTTAGGTAGGGAGAATATTAAGAAGACAATTTGGAGAAGAATTGAGTTATGAATTTGACTGATTGTTTGATGAAATAAACGTTGATTATGCTTTTGGGTCTTGTATTGATTTTGACAATCCGCCCGTATACCTAGTTTTACAAATGTTGACCAAATCTCTCTATTATATTAGGAGACTTCCTTCAGTTCTTCTTTGTCTCTCCTTCCTACCCAACCTCCTCTCCAAGAGATAGTGCCCCTTCTCTATATTATTGCTAGAGGTAACAAACGGGAAGGTCGGGTCGAATGTGGAAAGGTCAAAAACGGATATAATATCCAATCCAACCCATATTTAATACAGATAGAAAATAGGTTGACCGACAAATAATACGATCACTTTTGGGAATTTCTAGTATCCTAAACTTGAAGAATTCCTAATTTGGTCTTTGCAAATGTAAAAGTTAAACTCATTAGTTATTCATTTTTAAGTGGATAATATGGTTTTAAAAAGTTCATTATCCAATTCATTTTTAGTGAATAATAAGTGTATACACTGAAACTTTAACAAATCAAGATAAAATCCTAAATTCAAGACAACTCTTGAAATATTAAGTCTATTAGGGTTACATGGTGGCTACTCCACAATTCCATGAACTCTCGGAATATGCACAGAGAGATCAAATATGAGATCTCTGGAATTCCATGAAACTCTTAGAATATTCATTAAGAGATTAAAGACATGTCAAATATGTCTTGCTTAAAGTTCTATTTTCGGAAAATAGGCCGCTAAGGCCCTCGAATCACGTAGAATAAATCGGAGGGAAGAATCAAGGGATAAACAGAGTTGTAACCTGCAATGTTTATCAATAAAATCCTTTTTTCTCTACAGTTGTTTGTGATTGCAGTTATATTTTTCTACACAAATTTATTGCAAACAATAAGAATGTATAACTGTTTTTTAATCCATTTTGCCACCACGGATTATTGTCCTATCGTGTATTTTAATCTATTATCTTTATTATGGATAGTTTTCTGTAATAATAAATGTAAAAGAGAGACGAATCGTGTTCTCTATGGGTGTAAAACGAAGTTGTATCAATTTATCTTGGTTTGAGTATGGTTCCATGTTTGTCGCTGCCAACTCTCCTATATATACAAGACAAACACCAGATTTTAATTGAAAAACTGTCCAAACAAACGATAGAAGTGAAACAAGAAATAATCAAAATATGAGAAAATTGAAAAGCCACATAATTCTCGCACCTCACTGATTTTGACTTGATCTCCATGTTTTGACGTTTATTTTGAAAGTAGTAAACAGGAAAATTAAAGCAACCATAGTATGGTGCCAATTCACATTTCGAAACATACAACTAAAAATCATACCAAATTCGCATTGAGAAGTCTGAAGCAGATGGTATCACTGAGAAAAGGAAAAGACATGATTTGAATGTTCTCACACGTCTGCAACTTCTGAATTTGCTGCACCCAAAAACATAACATGTAAAATCAAAAGGGAGAATTGGTAAGCAACTAAGCATACATTCTAATAACTAGAATGATAAAGAGCAATTATATTTCCATTACACTGATGACAATTTATGATGAGTGACATAACCATCATCAGAGCCTCTACCTTCACAAGGTAGGGGTAAGGTCTGTTACATATTACCCTCCCCAGACCCCACCACTGGGATTACACTGGGTTTGTTGTTGTTGTTGACATAACCATCACCAGACAGTACGAGTGAAATTACTTGCATTTCTAACAAAAGTACATTAACTATTTGAGCAGCAAATATGAAGATACACAAACTTGATTCTACCTTTATTTTATAACCATGAGATAGGATCATACTAATTCAGCCTCTTCCTTGCCATAGTCATACACTATCTCAATCTGCATCAAGAACTTATGAATTAGATATATGGAGAAACACTACGCGAGGCCATTGTGATAGTATCACAAGATTATAAGATATTGGGTGTATGTGGCACCTAATACATGTCTATTAACAAACATATGGTAGCAACTCAAGCATGAAGAGGCAACATAGAAGTACCAAAACAAAACCCCAAAGCTTCAGGACGAAGAAACACATAAGTGTACCATTGGAAATGCAGTAAACATTATTGGCAGAATGTCAATCAATTTTCTAAATGATATATTCTCATAATACACTCGTAACTAAGTTTTGGCAGTTAATATAAACCACAAACTTGATGGAGAAAGTAAATTCATGAACAATCCGATTTCTCGATCAACTAAAAGTGTAAGGCAATATACTGACATCTTCTTTAATTGATTCTTTTCTTTTTCCCCTTGAATTCTATTGACAATCATCACTGGTATACCAGTTAGAGAATAACATCATTAAAATGCAAGAGTGCCAACCAAAAAGGTTAGGTTACCGAGTTTATAACAAACAAGGTCCTTAGTAACTAAAAGTCCACATAACATCATGCCTACTCCCATAAACAAAAAATTGAAATCCTACACCACCAACCTTTACAGTTGATGCATGAACCTAGAAAAGTAAAGCTACAATATAGACAGTACACATAATGAGCAAATAAGCACCCAATTAGTCAACTTCAATACAAACCATGGCAAGAAAGAAAATAAAAAAGATATGGATGTATTGTTCGCATCCATATTCAGCTCAAAGTATTAAACAGAAGTTGAAAAATATGGTATTGGTTGAAATTTACAAAGAGGATAGCAGGAAAGAACTCAAGCAACAGGTTAATGGATAAATGAGAGAGGGTGCACAATGCAAATAAACTTCTAAACAGATTACCCCTTCTGGTGGTACAGGGTTTCTGTTGAACTTGGAACCACCAGGAGCCCATGGAACTGCTCATCAAAGCAAAGAAAAAACAAGATACTGTTAGAAGTCCAGAATAGTAGTAAGAGCTGCTAAAAGATTCTGTCCAATTTTACTTGAAAAAAAAAGAAAAATATCTGTCCAAGATAGCCGAAGAACATGTCCACTGAGTGTCAGCAAATTAAAGTTACTTTTTTCTGGTTAAAATATAATCTAACACAACAGCATATGACTTTATGCTTCTCTTCCTTTAGTATCGATGCACTAATAGTGTGTAAACTTAATTTTACGGCTGTTCACAATGAATATTGTAATAAGGAAGAAATCAGAAAGTCCATCAAGGAAAAGTACATTGCAGGCAAGACAAGAATTTAGGAAATCCCTAATTAGTTAGCATCTTATAAGCAGAAATCTTAGAAACTATCCACTTCTAAACATATAACTTTCTGCCAGAAATATACTCTTGGTTGTAAAAAATTGCAGTTTCCTCATAATTTAGAAAAGTTATACTCCCAGTAACCAAACATCAACGACCTCCAACTGTTGAAAGCATGTCACATAAAAAAGGGCAAATAAGCAGATTTGGACACAATACTATGCAAGCACAAGCTTAAGAAAATGATTCGAGTTGAAAACTTATTCCTCATACACTAGGGTCTCAGATGCCATATTTTTATGGAATTTCCTTCATAGGGACAAAAATCCAACTTGCCACATGAATTAAGAGCTCGCGAAGAAATTTACCAATGTAGGGATCAGGGTGCCGCCACTTATTATAGCTTGCTTCACCATCAGCTATAAGTCTATCAATAGTTTCAACATCTTCCTGGATGTCAACAAAGTGAACAAAAAGAGAATATCAAATTACAGATACAAGTGCGATCAGAAAAGTACATTCCTTCAGTTGCACTAATGAATGCCACTCCTGGTTATACCTTTGACTAACAAGCAAGTAGATTCATATGTTTCCGTCTTGGGCAACATTTTCTTTCATTATAAAAGTTTCTGAATAAATATTTGCAAATAGTAAAACTAAAGCAGATGACAGATTTCTTTTTGCTATGTCAATTTCACATGAGAAGTCAGTTTATATAACAATAAGGGCATATACATTTTTTCCTTTTCAATAAGTAAAAAGAATTTATAGCCCTTAATACCTACATTGAGCTGAAGACAGTTGCTTACAACCAAAAACCGGTAATTTTTAGCATACAAACGCGTCAAAGGAGAACTAACAAGCTGATAGACAAGATCATTTTACATGGACAGGTCACTTTATATGACAATAAGGACATAAGTGTGTTTGATAGAAGCAAGATACTCATTTTCTACTGATTTATTACCAGAAAATATTTTTTCCACCAATAGCAGAAAATGACTTTCGCAGAACATTTCCCTTCACGAATATCCCAACTTTCCATATCACTTGTTTAAGACATTTTTTTAATCTTTAATACTCAAGAAATTCAGCAAAACACTATCCTCGTACTCTTTTCGTTCGCGTTGTATGAGTATCAAATGGCACTTACTTTGAGAATCATCTGTCAACTTATTTCATAGTTTATACCCAACCAAACCCTGAAAAATGACGCAGAAAATGATTTTTCAAGGTAAACATTTTACTCCATTCCAAATTCTATGGGTCCGTTTTTTTTCTTTTGATATGTAAAAAATTAAGGATATAGACCTTACTTCCTACAATGAGCTTAAACAAATTTGTTTCTACCAAAAAAATCACAACTTTTGGCATATAAATACCTAAAAATGGTAACATAACATGTCAAAAATCATAAAACATCAATTTACTGGAAAAATAAATTTAAAAAAAATGAAGGAGAATGAGGTCAAACCACGTGTTTGTTGGCCTCGAACTTCTGCCTGAGCGCATCGGCCTAAAACAAAAAACAGAGAAAATTAACGCCTTAATCAGAAAGGCGATGATATGAAGAAATGTGGAGATCGAATCAATGGTAGAGATTACATCAGAATAAAAGAGGTGACGATGAACGGCCCAATTGAGAGTGTCTCTGAGAGCACGCCTGTAGAGGATCCTCACTCTCTCCTTCTGTGCTTCTCTTCTCGCTACGTACCACGCTGATGCTACTCCGCTCATGGCTTCTCTTTCTCCCTCCTAAATCTTTCACAGTCTGCTCTCCGTTTCTTCTCTTTGCTTTGAATTTCCCCAAATCATGTATGCTGGGGCTTACGACGTCGTTTTGATCCCCCCCCCCCACCCACCCACCCCCGCTTCTCCCTTTTTTTTGGGGCTTTCATAATGCAAAAATAAAAAATTGCCATTTTTATTATGTTTTGTTAAAACATACTTTATTGTCGTTGATGTTTGCGTCAAGGTAGACTGCCTACATTATATCCTTGGGGTACGACACTTTTACGAACCCGTGTAAATGCGGGATACTTTGTGCACCGGACTGCCTTGCTTTATTCAAATTAGAATTACTCCTCCCGTCATAATTTATGTGATTTTTAAATTTAAAAAAATATTTAAAACTTGTAGTTAAAACAAGCTTTAGATATTTGTGATCTATTCTATTTATATAGAATAGGAGAAACAAATCATTTTTATAATTCCAAATGTAACATCAAAAAATTAACAAAGTGACAAATTTTAGGACAAAGCTCCAACAAATTTGGAGATTCAAAAATTATTTACAAAAAATAATGATAAAAAAGACATAACGAAATTAATTACCTAAAATTAACTACTCAAACATGGGTAATATAATAAAGATAAATACATAAAAAAAGTTATTCGATGGCTACATAAGTCCCTTTAATTTAATCGAGAATTTGTTCATTAAAATTCAGACAATATTATTGAGAACAATAGAATAAAATTTAAAATAAAAATTATTTCAAGAGTAATAAAATATATATCTTCTCTTATATTACAAGAACATAGTAGCAGAGAAAAATATTAAACAAAGTAATATGCTAATAAAAATTTCTATTAGCAATGTAATAATACTAAATATTGGATGATATAATAAAAGAAAAATACAAAACAAAAAAGTCATTCGCTGCCTGTATAAGTCCCTTTAGTTTAATAGAGATTTTATTCATTAAAAGTTAGATAATATTATTAAGAACAAAAGAACAAAATTTAAAATAAAAAAATATTTCAACAGTAATAAATTATATATCTTCTCTTATATTACAAAAAGAAAAGCGAGCAGATAAAAATAGTAAACAAAGTAATATACTAATAAAAATTGCTATTAATACGTAATAATACTAACAATGGATAATGTAATAAAGAAAAATATATAACAAAAAAGTTATTCACTGACTATATTAGTATCTTTAATTTAATAGACATTTTATTATTGTGTATATCGTATTGATAAATAAGATGACAATTTAAATTTATTAAAGCAATATAGTCTAATAGGATCAAACAAGCCCGGTCATAATTTAATTTATTTAATATTTTTTTAATATTTACCGCGCATCGGGCGGGTACGACTACTAGTTATCTCATTAAGGATGAAGTTAAAAGTTAAAAGTTAAATTATTCTATATATAGAAAGGTATAATTCTTTTTGTAACAAACTAAAAAGGAATAGAAGGAGCACTACAAAGGCATGGCATTAGATGAGTTAATTGTAGCTGTAGGTTTAATTGTTTTTTTCGGGTTATGACGTACCTATGAGCGGATTATTACATTTTATCATCTCAGTCGATCCTTTTAATAAACGCAATATACAGAAACAATTTATTTATATCTACTTGGTTTAACGTAAACAACATGTGCAAATAAGTCCTTGCCCGGAATATAATTCCTCTTCTTTTTTTAAGTAAATGATGAGTAGTCCCTGAAATGACTCTTGTTCAAGCTTTGTAGTCAATGAAGAAGGCTTTTGGCTCTCCAAAAGGTATAGTGTAACCTAAAGTCATATGAAACGCATATCAAAGTTATTATTAGCTCAGAAATTAAACAACCAAGGTTATCTTAGTACAACACAACTGAAAACTAGAAAACTGATTCAAGCTCAAACATTGTAGGAAACAGTTCCACCAATAATGTATGATTATTAATAAAATACTAGTAGTAGTAGTTTCTAGGGTTGTTCATAATTAGGTAAATACCGAATTACCGTATTGAAATCGAAAATTTTGGTATTTGGTTTAAGTTTTAAAAAATATTAGTATTAGGTATGGTATTTGGTATTTTAAAATAAAATACCGATACCGTGCCGAAATATATATTATATTACACAAAACACATATTATAATATAAATATAAAAAAATATAAAAGTTTACTTTCCTTTATTCTCAAAGTTCATCAATTAACTCTAAACAAGTAACAAGACATTTCTAATGATCAAATATTCTTTATGTACAGTTTTCTCTATTTGGATTGATATTTGCTAGTTTTGGACAAAAATTTTGTCAACAAACATTTTCAGTTTTGTATTTTTGAGTACTTTAATTAAGAATATTAGAGTGTATTGCTCTATGCACTAGTTAGTATTCAAACCGAATAAACCGAAGTTACCGAACCAAATAAATCGAAACCGAAAGGAGAAAAACCGAACCATACCGAATTTAATTAAGTACGGTATTGGTATAGGATTTTAAGAAATCGAATACCGAAAATACTGAACCGAAATGTCTAAATACTGTACCGTACCGAACGACGAACACCCCTAGTAGTTTCAACCAGCAAGAAAATAGTAAAGTGGTTAAATTGTACAAGTAATCAATCATCTCAAAAATACTAGAATTACTCCCCGTGTCACAATTTATGTGAGTTTAGAAAGAAAAAGAACTTGAAAACTTGTGGTTGAAACAAGCCATAAATATTGGTATATTATCTCATTGACGATGAAATCGAAAGTTTAAATTAAACTATTTTTAAATATAGAAAGGTATAATTCTTTTTGCGGCAAACTGAAAGGGAAAGAGTAACACATAAATTGAGATGAAAGAGCACCGTAGAGGCATGACGACTGACGTTAAATGAGTTAATTGTAGCTTTAGATTTAAAACAAATTCGGTTTATGAAGTGCCTATGAGCGATATTATTTTTTGTAGTCTAATCGCTCCTTTACTAAATGCAATATAGGGTAAAATTTTATTTGTATTTGTTTGGTTTGGCGTAAACAAGTGAAAACTGATTCAGGCTCAAAGATTGTAGGAAACAGTTCCACCAGTAGTGTATGATTCATTAATAAAATACTACTACTAGTAGTTTCAATCAGCAAGAAAATAGTAAAGTCGTTAAATAGTACAAATAATCAATCATCTCAAAAATACTCTTCTCCATAGTTAATACTGATTACAATTTTGCATTCCACTTGCTACACTATAATCATCCACCTTATTAGTTTTTCTTCACTTCTTCATGTTCAAGACTTTGATGCCCTTAGTAAACGTATCCCTTAACGAACATTCCTTGTTTAGCTTCGTCTGATTCTCCCTCGCCAGTGTACTTGCCAAGTTGAGCAAGAGAGTTGGCCTTAGCTCTGACCAGCAACGCGTCCTGAGCAGCCTTAACGTTCTCAGGGAGTCCGCCCCATGTCTTCAAGCAAGTGTTTTGAAGAGCCCTCGCATATGAGAAAGATACGTGCCACGGGTTTGGAGCTTGGTTCATGGCATTCAAGTTGTATGTAGCCTCAACTTCTGATTGTCCACCAGATAAGAACTGTTCAAATATCAACAAATATCGAACTAATTAGCAATGAGTTAACCAATCTCCTACCTTTGTTTAAGATTTTATGTTGTTGTCACCTCAAAAGTTTACTCATTTTTTCCTCTATTTACAGCCTATGCAGTATGCACTAACAATAAGTTGAAACTTTCTAGTGATAGTCACTAAGAATTTCTCGAACCTCTCTGCCTTCTTAAAGGTAGAGTAAGGTTTGAGTACACACTATCCTCACCATAACTCACTTGCGGGATTACACTCGATTTTTTTTTTGTTGTTGTTGTTGTAGCTTAATTAGACATCCCAAAGCATAGGTTTCAATGGTTCTTAATGTAATTTTTATATGCTTTTTGCCTTTTTGGTAACGTTTACGAGTTTAACTTCTATACACTGACTGTGCAAAACATTTTGTTGCTATCAAGTCATCTACTTACAATATAACTATCTGTAACTGATCATAATAAGTGGAACTAGTTACCTTAAAGTAAGGCAGATAACTTGCTATAACAGATTAAATTACACTAATAGCATAAAGTTCTACTACCGTCAGTGTATATAAGTTAAACTCAATGCATATATCCTAGTATATTCAGAAAGTCTTCTGCTAGTCGACAAGCTTTTCTTTTCCTGTTATAAGTATTAACAACTGCAAAATCAATATAGCTTTATGTCTTTAGCAACTCATATATATAGAACTGAGAATTAGTTTTAAAAAAAGAGTAGCCCGTTGCACTAAGTTTTCGCTATGTGCGGGGTCCGAGGAAGGGATCTATCGTACGCAGCCTTACCCTGCATTTCTGCAAGAGGCTGTTTCCACGGCTCGAACCAGTGACCTCCTGGTCACATGGCAGCAACTTTACCGGTTACGCCAAGACTCCCCTTCATAATTGAAAATTAGTGAAACTATAAAATTGAGAAGGAAACTTGCCATGATTCCAGGGACAGCAGGGGGAATTCTTCGGCGGAGAAGCTTGAGAGTATAATCAGCAACTTGCTCAGGAGTTGCCCTGTCTTTGCATTCAGCACCAGGAGTGACCATACTCGGCTTGAGGAGAATACCTTCAAACATGACATTGTTCTCAGCGAGGTAAAAGAAGACCTCGGCCCAAACCTGCTGTGCAACCTCAAAAGTCCTGTCAATGCCATGTTCACCATCCAACAATATTTCCGGCTCCACAATTGGGACCAAACCACTGTCTTGAGCAATGGCAGCATAGCGAGCCAACCCCCACGCTGCTTCCTTCACTGCCAATGCAGATGGTCCGTTGGGAATGCTCACGACTGTACGCCTGAAATACCAAAAACATTAAGTACATATCATCATAGTGCACCGGTTTGCCCTTTTTATTGAAGCACATGACTCAGATTTCTTAAAATTTACCATTTGGCAAAGCGAGCTCCTTGTTGGTAGTATGCAGCAGTACGAGAGGCGAGGCCGTCTAGACCTTGGCACCATGACTCATCATTTGAACCAGCTAGAGGCACTAAACCCTTGTCAACTTTGATACCAGGAACAATATTTTGTTCAACAAGGACATCAACCATTTTGCGGCCATCAGTCGTGGATTGGTAGAGAGTCTCCTCGAAAAGAATGGCACCAGAGACGTACTGTCCAAGACCTGGAGCTGTTATAAGCAAAGTTCTATAAGCTTGGCGGTTAGCCTCAGTGTTCTCTAACCCAATGGATGCCAACCGCTTTCCGCAAGTGGCATTGGACTCGTCCATCGCCAATATTCCACGCCCTGGTGATGCAATTGTTTTCTGTGCAGTTACCATAAACACTTCATTATCACATTGGTCTTTCATTTTCGTCTTGCTCGACTTATTAAACTTTTATAAAAACTAAAAAGTGCATAAAACGATCCGCTAAATCTACTGATGAAGCATTAATGACCGTCAATTATTACTATGTCTGTCTCAATTTATGTGGTGCCGTTCAGATTTCGAGAGTCAAACTTCTTAGTTTGACTGTGAATTGAACACAAAATTTTAAGTTTTTGAAATAAAATTTACATAATCAAAAACTACGTAAAAAGTATTATTAGTCACAGTAATTAACTATTCAAAATGTTTGAAAGGCATATGAGAATATTGCAGTCAAAGAAAAAACTCATTTGACTCTCGTCCGAATGGTGCCACGTATATTGGGATGGAGGGAGTAATGGATTTAACTTATATACATTGATAGTGAAACCCATATCTACACTATCAGTATATTGTTTTTAACGGGTTATAACACATTATTTACTTCATCTTTGAGGTCATCAAATTTGGATTACAATCGGTCGCCAGAGGCAGATCCAGGATTTAATGTTTATGTGTTTCTGCAACGACCTCGAGTAAATTTTCAGTAGCAACTGAGTTTACATTCAAATATTTATAGATATTTAGTGAATTTTCGAACACATTTACACTATTTGGACAAAAGTTGCTCACATGAACCCATAGGTCGCAAGGTGGATCCGCCTCTGTAGGTGACTACACAATATTGTAGGTTATATAACATGTTAATGTACATAAATTTCACACTATCAGTGCACAAAAGTTAAACTCGTTATTAATTGACTAATGAAACTTACAGCGGTCTTGACGAGCTCATCAGCATAGGAAGAAGTGGCACGGACAGTGAGACAAGGGGCGGTTGTAGGGTGGCAACGGATTACTGAGACGGAAGATTGGCGAAGAGTTTGCCCCTTAACGAACTCAGATTTGTCAAGAACTGGAGATGACTTTAGCAGAGATGCTGAGGCCATTTTCTTGATCTTTTTCTTTTTCCTCAAAGCAAGAGTACCTTATCTCAGCTTTCTCCTTAAGTCTCTCCTTGCCACAAACAAATTTCTCAAGCAGTTCCAAATTTATAACTGTGCTAAGACTGCAATGAGAAAACCAAAATGAAGATATCTCATTTGAGGTTGTCATGCTTTGAACAATGTACACTTGCCATGTAGACATGATTTTTCTATTTGGTGTAGTACAAGTGGTTAAAATATATGGAATTATTTCCACCTTGCAAAAGAATTTCCACTATGTTATCATATGGACTTTTTAAGTCATTAAAACTGGAAAATATTTCTTGCTTTCTTCGAGTTATTTGAAAATTGAAAGCGACATTACAATCATGATATACTAGAGTACAATTAAGTTGGTTTGCTCAAAGCAACACCAGTGCCCAAACGTGAGGATCTGATTAGCAGTCCTCTATTGGGGCCAGAGGCGAAGCTACATTGTCCTAACGGTGGTCCTTTTATTGTCCTAAGGGTGGTCCTTTTGTCCAAAAACTATATTGTGTTTATATAAGTAAAATATTAGGTTTTAGAAGTATTATAACACCCTTTGTCGGGGAATTGATTTTACTTCTTTTTTAATTTGAACACCTTTATTGAAATTTCTGGCTTCACCACTGATTGAGGCTACCCTACGGTGTGTGGCTTGGTAACATCTCTGTTTGTTGGCGTCTCCTGTAATCAATGGTCATGGTTCTGTTTCAGCAGTGGCTGATCCAATTAAGGATTCGCGAGTGTTGTAGTTACATGAAAGAAAAAACAAGTATAGCTAGAAGTATACATTATTGAAATCTCTCAACTAAGAGCCCGTTTGGATTGGCTTAAAAAAAGTGGCTTTTCAGCAGAAATAGCTTTTAAGTCAAAAAGCAATAAGTTGGGGTTATCCAGCTTATTGCTTTTGGCTTGTTTTAAGCAATTTTCAACTTATTTTAAGCATTTTTCTGATTTTCCCAAACACTGAAAAAAGCTAAAAAGAGCTTAAAAGCTGATTTGCACAACTTAAAAGCCAATCCAAACACCCTCTGAGAATTCATGTGTCTAAATTCTAGATCCGCCGCTGAATTTCTGGGCATGGGTTGACACTAATTTCCATGTTACATCCAGTTACAGCTGATATTTGTAGTACAAACACCTGAACTTATGCAAAAAATAATACTACTAATTTTCTTAGCTTGCTTAACCAATTCCTTTGACTAAATCTCGTCTTCACTATGTTCCTCTTTCATTTCATCCATAACCATTAGCGAAATAAATTGTAATATTTGCAATCTTGGCTCCTCTAGCCCTTTTAATTTACGTATAGCAACATAACCGCCTTCGCCTGAAACACTAGCAAGATAACCTCCCATAGACGGATAGAAGGGGAAGAAGAAAATTACATTTCCCTTGTATTTAATCTACTTCTGCTGCTGGTAATTTTACTGGCTGAGAGCAAAGAGTGGGAAATAACAGAAACAGTTAATTTTTTGTTGGGTATGTAAACATAGTCCTAAAACTCATAACAGGAGTTCATGCCCTAGGAATGACCACTCGAAACAGAGTATTGACATTTATGAGATACTAATCGCACCAATTCGTGTCCCCAGCTATCGTATTTGTACTGCTTATATTGGCAACAAGAAGCAGCTATTTTTGAGAAATTACCTTAAAATATTAGCATGGCTCAACAGTGCACTACTAGGTGAATAAGCAATAGCCTCCAACAAGGTCAGACCAGCAAATCACTCGAGAGTTAATTATATCCTGACCAAAAATAACCAGCAAGAACCTAAATCCAGGGCTGGCTGACGTAAAAACTAACAGCACAGATACCAAGAAAAACCAATATGTTGGTTGCCCTCATCCTTCCATTAGCTAGCAGAATCACCAAATAAAAATGCACCTCACTATAGTTTACAGCAATCCATGTTCTAAATAATGGTTTCATCATGTCCATTCAAAAGAAAAAAGACGCAAATCAAAATAACTAGTTCCAAAATTCCGATATTCTAAAGTAAATGTCAATCCCAATTCAAAGAGGGAAGAAGAACAAGATATCATCAATAGTCACCCTATTGATATGGCATGTCTTTTATCAGTCAGTACCTCCTAGGAAAACGGTCCATAAACCTTCCAGAGGGGTGGTCCATAAACCTTCCCGGAGGGCGGTCCATAAACCTTCCTGAGGGGTGGTCCATAAACCTTCCAGAGGGGCACTCATAAGCTAGGTGTCCTCTTCCCCCACAGTTGTGACAGATCATCAATGGCATGCAATCTCGACTCATGTGGCCCACTTGCTGGCAGTTGCGACATACAATGTCCCTATATCCTCCTCCCCCACCAAAAGGACGAGCTCCACCACCCCTCTCTTCAAGAGCACCAGCCTTGGGGCAATCTCTCGCCATATGACCGGATATATTACATAGGTTGCACACAGGATCATTTTGACAATCACGTGCCAGGTGACCAGTCTTCCTACAATTTTTGCATGCCTTGTCATTGGTGCAGTCGACTGCAATATGGCCTTGCTTGAAGCAGTTATTGCACAGCTTCAGGTCACCAGGAGGCAGGGGAGGAGCCGCGCAGTCTCTAGCACGATGTCCTGCCTTTCCACAAGTGTGGCAGATTCCTTCATTTGGACAATCTCCAGCCATGTGGCCTGGCTCTCGGCAATTCCAACAAAGAGATTTTGTGGTACACTCGGAGGCAATATGCCTGTTTAAGTTTTGGAGGCAAAGTCAAAATTAAAGGAGTAACAAATATAACTTGTTTTACCAACATTAATGACCCCAATTTTCGGGCACAAGCATGTGTGAAAGCACTGATAGAATAGAACAACTACACCTTCTCAACAAAAGATACATGAAAGAATAAGTAATACATGTATTAGGAAAGCCAAAGAAGGAAGCCATTTTATCAAGCAACTTGTAAACATCAGCAGCATGTTGCACATACACTTCCCTTTAAGACAACACTCAAGCTCGAGTCTGGACATTGCCAGTTACCAAGTAAACTACCTTGTATTTGTTTACTGTTTAACGTTATATTAGTGATCCTGTGTAAGAAACTACTATATACTGGCAGTTCTAATATACTTGCTAAATTTGATTGTTTGATTGTTTGGGTACTTTTAGAAGCTAATACTAAAAATTACATATTATTAGTATTTCATTTCAATATGTTGCTTCCTTGCGATGTGGGTGTCTTCAGTTTTTGTTAGAAATATGCTTTAGAAGCTGCTCTCAGTAAAATTATTTTACTGTTTCAGCTTAAGAGTTATTTACTGCAGTAATTTAGTTTGAATTTGAAATAATTTTGAACTAGTCTTTAGGAGTGAACTAGTCTCTAGGAGTTAGTTATTTTCAGCAGATTTTGTGCTGATTTTTAGGTCTTTTAAGTTAGTATTTCTCTTATAAATTGTAGTCCAAAATGCAGTAAAATAATAATAGAATTTTCAGCTTCAGTTCCTTTTACATCTATTCCAGTATACTCTTTTTATTTTCCTGTCATCTTCCCCAGTTATTTCCCTTAATTTCTTTTATCAAGAACCAACAATTGGTGTCAGAGTCATCTTCTTAAGGGACCTAAGTAAAATCTTTTCTTGGGTGAGATGGAGACTGAAATGAGTTATTCTCAATTGGCTCCTCCAGTCTTTGATGGTGAAAATTACCAACTGTGGGCAGTGAGAATGGAGACTTACTTGGAAGCTTTAGATCTTTGGGAGGCCGTGGAAGAGGTTTATGATGTTCTTCCGCTGCCTAACAATCCCACGGTGGCCCAGATCAAGAGTCACAAGGAAAAGAAAACCAGGAAATCAAAGGCGAAAGCAACTTTGTTTGTTGGTGTGCCTGCAACAATTTTCACGAGAGTTATGGCTCTCAAATCAGCAAAAGAATCTGGGATTATCTGAAGGGAGAATATACAGGAGATGAAAGAATACGAGGCATGAAGGTGTTGAATTTAATAAGGGAATTCGAGTTGCAGAAAATGAAGGAATCTGAGACTGTCAAAGAATACTCAGATCGGTTGCTTGGCATTGTTAACAAGGTAAGATTGCTTGGTACTAAATTTAAAGATTCAAGAATTGTTGAAAAAATTCTTGTTACGGTGCCTGAAAAATATGAAGTATCCATAACTACCTTGGAAAATACAAAGGATCTATCCAAGATTACCTTGGCAGAATTGTTAAATACATTGCAGGCACAAGAGCAAAGGAGGCTTATGAGGCAAGATGGTATGGTTGAAGGAGCCCTGGCAGCCAACCACAAAACTCAAAGCAAGGGTAATAATGTTAAAAAAAATTACCCGCCTTGTCAGCACTGTGGCAAAAAAGGTCATCCACCATTCAAATGTTGGAAGAGGCCAGATGCAAAGTGCAACATTTGCAACCAACTTGGTCATGAAGTTGTAATTTGCAAAGGCAAATATCAAAAGCATGAAGCAGATGCCCAAGTCGCCAATGAAGAAGAAGAAGATCACTTGTTTGTGGCAACTATTCTTTCAACCAAAAAATCTGATTTTTGGTTGATTGACAGTGGTTGTACAAACCACATGACATATGACAGAAATCTTTTCAAAGAGTTCACGTCTATAGGAAATAAGAAAGTCAGAATTGGAAATGGTGATTATGTTCTTGCTAAAGGAAAAGGAACTGTTGCAATCCCAACAAATTCAGGTACTAAGAAAATTTCAGATGTTCTTTATGTTCCTGATATTGATCAAAATTTATTAAGTGTTGGACAACTAATGGAAAAAGGATTTAAAGTATCCTTTGAAGATAAATATTGTTTCATTTATGATGCAACTGGACTTGAGATTTTAAGGGTCAAAATAAGAGGTAAAAACTTCTCATTTGATCCAACCAAAGATGAAGAATGGAGCCAAAAGAATCTACTAAGTGCAGGTAACTCTCCAACTGAGGACATATGTGAAAATGAGGTAAGGAAGAAGTTGTCAATATTTCAGAAAATGCAAATCTGAAAGAAAGTTGACAAGTCTCAAGGCAAGATGCAAATGAAGCTGAAAAACGAGCCAACTTATTTCATTGACAATCATGAGATGCAGCAAAATACAGAAGTGAACTTGATTCACTGCAAGTACAAAGATCAGTTGGCAGATTTACGTACAAAGTCGCTTCCAGTTAAAGGTTTACAAGGCACAAATTCAGAATTTGCAGCTTCAAAAGCAAGGAGGAGTGTTAGAAATATGCTTTAGAAGCTGCTCTCAGTAAAATTATTTTACTGTTTCAGCTTAAGAGTTATTTACTGCAGTAATTTAGTTTGAATTTGAATTAATTTTGAACTAGTCTTTAGGAGTGAACTAGTCTCTAGGAGTGAGTTATTTTCAGCAGATTTTGTGCTAATTTTTAGGTCTTTTAAGTTAGTATTTCTCATATAAATTGTAGTCCAAAATGCAGTAAAATAATAATAGAATTTTTAGCTTCAGTTCCTTTTACATCTATTCCAGTATACTCTTTTTATTTTCCTGTCATCTTCCCCAGTTATTTCCCTTAATTTCTTTTATCAAGAACCAACAGTTTTCAACAAAGCATGTTCGGTTCTGTGTACCAGGTTTCAGGATATCCCCCTTAGTTACCTGTAAGCTAAAAACTATTCAGTGTGCTGCACTTAATTTAAGAGATATCAGGTATCTTGCCCCTTGGTACCTATATCAAATATTAAGTTCCGTGTGTTGTATACTGGAAGAAAGTGATGCAAATAAATGGAACATGCAAGCAATAAAGAATGACAATATAACACCGCCATTAGCAACTTCTGTGATTCAACTTTAATCTGTTGCACAACTGTTTCTCCAGAGTACACTAAGTAAATGCAATAGTAATGCTTATGCTTTCCAGTTGGATGGGAAACAAGTAGTTAATTAACACAGAATATTGTAATACTCACCCTGGGAGACCACAGTTGTGACATATGGCAACATTAGGGCACTCCCGAGCAAAATGGCCAGGGCGTTTGCAGTTCTTGCAGAGACCACTCTCACTGCTTAAAACATAAACAAGTAATAACAGAAACCATGAGAAAAAGAAGAAATATTTTCACCAAAGAGCCAAAAATTGTACACTCCGATCGTAGAGAGAGTTAAAGAGCGGGTAAAATAGCATACTCCAAGAAATCTGTGTATTAAAATAGTTCTTTTTGTTTCCACATTCCTTTTGAACTCATTGAGGAATGTATGCAAATGAAACGTGAGGTATGAGGTCAAAATAGATAGGCTAGATTTGATTAGACTCTGGCTACATAAGATCCATAACTTCACTAGCAAAAAAAAAATAGTGCTAACAAAGAACAATTTTTTTTTAAAATGAGAAACCTCATTATTGAACAAAATCCATATCAACTTATCAGAAAATGTAACAGTTCAAGGTATAAAATATTTGAGCTTAATAAGTTCAGGTATTTAACATAAAAGGCACTAATCAGTAGGGATACTGATCATCCCAATTTCACACTTGAGCATTTGGGTCTTATGGAAGTCTAACATTGGACTGCCAAATCAGTTTCCAAACAGCCACGTCAAAGCGTAGTCTAATTATTACTCTAATAATTACAGAACAGCATTACACACCCGCAGGGAAATATCTTGAACATAAGTATAAATTCAGTTCAACACTCCAAACATGCATATCAAAACACCCATATAATAATTAGCCTCCATCCAAGTCGAACAGACCCAGATCTCTTTGCTCCCACCAACAGGTGCTAGAAAATAGCTAAACATACAAATGATTAAAACCAGAGAACCTGAAACCCCGACGTGACTCCCGTCTATATGGTGCATCACGGTGGGAGAACCGCTGTGTACGGATTTTGCGATCCACTGGGCTCCTGCTTCTGCTCCTGCTTCGGCTTCTGCTGCCAGATCTCATATTCAAAACCAACACAAACAGAACCACCAATTAACGACCAGCTAAAATATCACCACTCCACCACCCAGCTGCTGCCTCCTCCCTGTCCACCACAACCACACATCCACATCAGTCCAAATAAACCTTAACTGTACTCCTTTCATTTTAAATACCAAATTCCAACACCACTACAGAGATATCATTCAATATACAAGCATCAAAAGCTTGTTGATTCAGGAAACATCATCCCCAGCTACATCCTCCTAAATATAGAGCATATCTCTTGTGACAAACACATGCCAGCACCACCACATAATCATTAACTACTACTTGTCATACAACACCTGACAATTGATTCCCAACTTCAAAGACATATGGAGATGGTTTCCTTAGCTGACAGAAAGCTCAAATGAGTGTTGATAGAAGCAAAACCTTTTACCAGAAACAGCAAGTACTTTTGGAGTATAAACAAGTTAAAGTCAATAATATGTCATGGAAATTAGAGTTGTGAAACTAAACTTTCTATTTTCTCAATAAAATACCATTATCCTTCCTTTGCTTTTATAAATCAAATGCCATTTTCCTTCTGGTCCAGCTGCAATAGACAAGCAACAACAATGGTCTCACAAGAACTAAAACAGAAGCATATTTACCCTTCAGATTGGTAATAATAACTAAAAACTTCGGTGTCCAGCCAAAACCCAGTCTCAGTGAATAGCTCCTGAAATTCCTTTATTTTCCATCAACCCTAACCCCAAGTGATAACGCTACTACTCTCTCCATCTCATTTTATGTGTCTTAGTTCGACTGGGTACAAGTTTAAGAATGTAAAGACTTTTGAATTTTGTGGTCTTAAACTAAAGGTGTATAACATGCCAAAAATACCCTTGAATCTTGTGGCCTTAAACTTCCCATGCCATTCCTATAAGGGAGCATCATTGAGGGTAAAATGGGAATGCTGAAATTAAGATCGTTAAATATAGAAAGGTGATTTAAACAGATTAAAAAGGAAAGCAAGACACGTAAAATTGAAACGGGGTACTAGTTTTGATCTGCTAGTCTATGCCCTTTATTTTTGGAGATTAGCACCTGATAGTGTTTGTCTTGCTCACCAGGTATCATTAAATTCTAAGGATATCGGCCCGAGTTAAGCTGAGACCATTCACGGAGAGCTACTAATAGAAAGGAAATGAAACCACTACTAAAAGCAAGTATCAAGAAATTCAGCACGATTTACCATAGAGGCATCACAGAAGTTTGTGGATCCACGTCTCAACATATAACAACTCATAAATCAACTATCCGCACCAGCACCATTCTCATCCACGTACTTTTCTTCTAATGATGCTAAACAAAGGTTGCCACAGTTTATAAAACTTTCCATACACCCTAGCCCTCTCACTTCAAAGAGACATCAGACAACACCTTGACTTAACATAAGCACAAGCGCATACAGAATGGAGATAGTGTAAGGCACCAGATTCCTACCCTTGGATATCTGCTACTACCACTGCGTACATTCTTTAATAACAAAGCTCTCCGCAACTATATCTTCTCTTAACTTGAAAAGGCTATCTGAGTGAACCCATTGCTCTTTTTCTTCTTTATTCTTTCTAATTTTTAAATGAGATATAGAATGGATCCATTACAACAACAACAACAACAAACCCAGTAGAGAATGGATCCATTACATCAATGATATATCGGTTGAAGAGTTCCCTTTCTATTTCTTTTTGTTTGTTTCTGTTTTGACAAGTTAAAGATACCGGGTCAGCACATGACCCTTTCTGCTTCGGATAAGTGCCAAATTATATATTTCTCACTACTTTTTCCTTTTCTTGCCGAAGAAAAAAGTTACTCTCTCTATCTTCAATCTGATAGTCCCATTCAATTTCTAATGGTTAATTATCGGAGTGTGACTGGCAGTAAATAATTCGCTTCCCAAAAATAGAAGTTAAAAATTTAGACGTACCTGAAAAAAATAACACACAAACTACAAAGTTCTGCATTTCAAGTTTACTGAAAAAATAATAAAATAAAACGAACACAAAACTCTTAGGCAAAATATGAATTTGTTGGACCGCAGGAAAATGTTCAATATTACTGAGTAAATACATATACTTTTAACTTTAAAAGGGACTTTTCTGAATTCAGGAGGAAGCTTCATGGTACAGATTCAAGTCATGTTCCCAGCTACAAGTAGTAAGCATTTTCATCATGCAGCTAACCGATAACTTCCCAATGCATCCCCATTTACATCCTTTCCCAATCTTATCATCTTCAATATTCGTATCACAATTCCTCCTTACTCTAGTCTATTGATATCTTCACATGAATCGCACCCACAAGGTATATGATCACCATAACCCACTGGACAACAACAACTACGGCTCAATCCTAAACAAGTTAGGATCAACACCATAACCCATTGGCCTAAAGAATTAAATATACTCTGCAATTTCATTCAACGCTCCTTCCTCAGAAAATGAAGAACAAAAGAAAAAAAATTCTTTGCCTTATGTGTATGCCAGGCCGGAAATGTTAAACAAGATTTCAGATTCAACTTCAGCCTTCACCTTTAGCTTCAAAAGTCCTCTTTTATTATTTTATCTTTTTTTGTTGGGGGAGGAAGGGATAAAGAGCTTCAATATATTCAGATATCTTCAATTCATTCACCAAAAAGTTAATTGGAATCCATAAGCAGAATCGTAAAATAGCTCATCTCCACCCACCAATGCTTCACAGCCAAAGAGCAATAATCCACGCATTAGAACACAAAATTCTCTCAGCTTCTCATTAACCATTAGTACTTTCTACCTATTCAAAAGTAACAACGAAGCAGTTGTATCCCCATTCAGCTTCCTCCCAATTTACAACATCCCTTAGATATTTCACCACTTCTTTCTCCAGAAAATTTTGGACAGGAAAACACTATGCAAGACAAATCATTAGAAACCCACAAAACTGTAGAACTATTAGGAATAGATGAAGAAACTGTAGGGAAAACATTTGCCTTATCCAAGGGTGTGGCCTACGGGTCAATGAAGTGGGAGGCAAACCATGAAGTCTAAGTTTCAAATCCCAAAGGGAACAAATAAATACTAGGTAATTTCTTCTCATCTGCCTAAACCTCTGTTATTGGGAGGTAACAAGTACCCATTGAAATAGTCCATATGCGTGCAAGCTAGCCTGGACACCACTGTCCTAGAAGATGTAAACAATAATTCCGAATAAAGATGTACTTCTAAGTGCTAAGTATTCATGTCCCAACATGACCAAAAAATCCGAGTTTATCGCCAATGAATCTCTCCAGCCACAATCACCAATGAAACCTAAATCAATCAACGAACTAAGCTTTAATCGCCCAACTATGAATCCTCTATATCAATTCAACTTTTTTTCGCCCGTCTCATTTGAGTACTGGTAAATAACAAAAAAAAAAAAAACTAGAAACATACAAAGATGTAACTGCCAAATGAAATTGAAAATGATGGTAAAGAGCTTTAGCAGAGAACATATAGTACAGGTCATTAATTAACGAGTAAAAAATAAACCCAAAATTAATTGCGTACAAAGACGATAGAGAGAGAAGAATGAACCTGAAACAGCGAACGCTTGTTAATGATAGATCCGGCGCTTAGGTGTAGGTTTAGGTTTAGGGATGCTGCAAGTAGAAATAGAGAGAAAATAGAGAGAAATAGAGTTACAAGAAAGAAGCAATAGATAAGGCGAGACGGAGAAATAGCTGTTGGCTGAATACCCTAGTAGGGCTAGTTTGGCAGGAGGGATAACTAATAATTATAATTTCGGGACTAAATTTAAGAAGAATTTATCTATTGGGAGAAAATTGTGATATAATTAATCATGAGATTAGCTATCCCGAGATTGTAATATTTTCTATATCTCCGTGGAAAGATAGAATAATTAATCGCGGAATAACTTTTTTCCAACCAAACGAATTTGTTTATGGGGTCTACACTTTAAATTTGTTTAATAAAATAGTTAAATAGGAAAAATAATATTATTGATAAATTTAAACAAAACAATTGGAGCTACGGAACAAAAGAACAAAGTTAAATTAAATTTTGGGGTAATACAAAACTATATTCATTATATTATACTAAAAGTAGAGCAATGAGTAAGGACATTAAGTAACGCGATAAGCTAATAAAAAATCACATGCCAATATAGCAAGTGTGCATTATGGTTAAGCCAACTAACAAGCTAATATAAAGCCACTTGTCAAATTATGACAATATTTGTTATAGTATTTAATTTAAATTGAAAGACAAGGTATTTATTTAAATTTAAATAGAAAGATAGTAAATAAGATTCTTTTGAATCTGAATGGAAAGAAAGTTAAATTTGAATTGATTGATTAATTAATTCGGAAAGCTAATCAACACATAAATGTTCCAATTCAAACAGGGGGCTCAACGAGTGAGGCGAATTGTTCTAATAATGAGAAAGAATTTTTTGAAATTTGAGTTCACAACAAAAATAACAGAAAAAACAAAAACGTGTTTGTTACTAGAAATAAGACTAAAAAATTTAGGTTCGAACCCATAATCATAATTACCGAGTTGTTGGATCAAAACTTAACTTCGTAACTACATTAGGGATAATTTTTAACTATGAATCGACTCAGACATTGGCTAAACAAATATCAATTGTGTTGTCTTACGGTAAAATTAATTATCCAATATTTTATATTTTATTTTATATCTCAATTGTATCGAAGCAATACATACATTTTTTTTTTGTTTTTTGTTTTTATTAGTGCTAGCAGTTGCTATGCTAAAATATAGAAGAAGGGAGGATAGATTCTTCTCTAATGGCTCAGGTGATGTGACGACCCAAAGGGTCATCACCTGTTTTCTCATTCATTCTGTGCTTCCGAGGCCTTGAAAACCTCATTTTTACTTGCCTCGATTTGTGTGCGCAGTCCGGGCGCGTAGCCGGAAAGCTTTTATGTTGAAATATGTGAATTCTGTAAAAAATTTGAAGAATTTTGATATTAATATGTTTAAGGTTGACTTCGGTCAATATTTTTGGTAAACGGACCCGGACTCGAGATTGGACGGTCCCGGAAGGTCCGTAGAAAAATATGGGACTCGGGCATGTGCCCGGAGTCGAATTCCGAGGTCTAGAGCCCGAGAAATGAATTTTTCTGTGAAATTGTTTTTCTGAAATTATTAAGGAAAATGGAAATGAAAATTGATTAAAAGACTGTGGTATCGGACTCGTATTTTGGTTTTGACGCCCGGCACAAGTCTTATATATTGTTTAAGCGCTTTCTATGAAGTTTGGTCGAAATCGGACGTCGTTTGACGTGTTTCGGACCTAAATATCTAAAGTTTGAAGTTTATGAAGTTTGAAAGGAAAATGATGATTTTGAGGCTTGATCCAATGATTTGAGGTTATTTTGGCGATTTGATCGCTCGAGTAAGTTCGTAAGATGTTATTGAGTTAGGGTGTGTGATGGGTTAGGAGCCCCGAGGGCTCGGGAGTGTTTTCGGAGGTGTTCGGGGTGGTTTTGGGCTTAGGATGATATCAGATTTTCTGCAATTTTTACTCAGGGATTTCCTTCTTCGCGATCGCGCTCTTCCCCACGCGATCGCATAGCACTGAGTCGTCTTCCTTCGCGATCGCGTCTTGAACCACGCGATCGCGTAAGCCAAATCCTTGGACCCCCAGTAGTTCTTCTACGCGATCGCGTAACCTTCCACGCGATCGCGATGACCAGTCAGTGGTACCCTTCGCGATCGCATCCCTATTTCCGCGATCGCGTAGGGCAATTTTGCCCAGCGAATTTTAAGTTAAAAACAGAACAGTAGCACGGGATTTTTCATAAAACCACGCGAAACCCTTTCTTCTCCAAGCACTTAGGCGTCCATTGAAGCTTCCTTTCATCAAAACTTCTTGAGTAAGCATTGTTCAACTTGTTTCCTTCAATTTCCTTCATTAATTAGTGAATTCCTAGCCCTAAAAATATGAAATCAAGGTAGAAATTATGCGTTTTGGGTAGAGTTAGGATTTTGAGAATTTTGGGTGATTCAACCTCAATTTGGGGTCGAATCTTAAAACAAATTTTGTATTTGGAATCGTGGGGTTATGGGTGATCGGGTTTTGGTCCGAGCCTCGAGTTTGGACCATGTGGGCCCGGTGTCTAATTTTGGTATTTTTGGAATAATGCTAGAAAATTTATATCTAGGCTATGAGAAGTTGCCATTGAGTCTTTATTGATATTGTTGAATTAGTTATGCCTAGATATCACTGTATTGGAGGTGGAATCACGAGGTAAAGCGATAGTTGAGGATTAAGTGGATTTCAAGGCTTTGAGGTAAGTGTTTGGTTTAACCCTAGCTTGAGGGAATAAGAGTTGAGTCTTGTTGCCAATTGCTATGTGATCGAGTACGATGTATAGGCATGGTGACGAGTATCTATACATTGGTGTCTAGCATGACCGTGAGTCCTTATAATGTGATTATCATGAACTTATTGTGAATTTCATGTTTATTGGAGTATTTCCATATATTGTGAATAACATGTGAACGGTGATATGATAATTTGATTCCTAGGAGCATTGGCTCGAACTGTGATACGAATATTGAAAGTATATGAAATGACTTAATTCATTGGGGAGCGTCGGCTCCAGTTGTAGAACGAATTGCGAAAGTATAAGTGATAATTGAACCTCTGGAGCATCTGCTCGAGTTGTGAAAAAGAATTGTGAAGTAAAAGCGAGAAAGATGAGAGATCATTATGTTGCCCTCTTGGCGGGCTATTGTTGGGTTGTGATTCCTCTGCATTGTGTTCTTAACGGATACTAGGGTCGCTAAGGTTAATGTTTCCTTGTGTCATATGATGACTATAGCTGTAGATGGGTTGGTTGGGTGTGGTAGTCGGTTAGATATAGCTGAGGTGGTCAAGTGTGGTAATAGGTTGGTTATAGCTGTGGTAGTTAGATGTTGGAACTAATGTGGTGGTTAGATGTTGAGACTAATATGGTTATAGTAATCCCCTTGCCAGAATATTTGAGATGATGTTTTATTCCCTTACTGGGAAGTCGTCATATTGTTGTTTGTGACGGAATATGAGATAAGAAATTTCTTGGAGCTTGGGCTCCAATGATATCGTGAGATAAGAAAAGTAAGAAAGAGAAAACGTTGTTGATTATTCCCTTGTCGGGACGTCTGGTTGAACTTGTTGGCTTCTTTCCCTTGCCGGGATGTTTGTCAAATGTTTACTTATTTTTATGCCCCTTAATTGTGACAGTTGTTTGGGGAGTCGGACTGTTAAATGATATTGAGGGTCGGTTGCACGCCGCAACAATAATATGTGAGGGTCGGGTTGCACGCCGCAACAATGATATTGAGGATCGGGTTGCACGCCGCAACAGTAAAAGGTGAGGATCGGGTTGCGCGCCACAACAATGATGTTGAGGATCGGGTTGCGCGTCGCAACAATAATATATAAGGATTGAGTTGCGCGCCGCAATAATGATATATGATAAGTAATATGGGTCGGGTTGCACGCCGCAACAATGATATTGTGGAGCGGGTTGCACGCCGCAACAATGGTAATTATGGAGCGGGTTGCACGCCGCAACAATTATTGAGGCTATGTGTTTACATTTGAGTATTGATTCCTTGTTCACTGCGAACCTAAGTTGCTTTAGTTGTTACTCTGGATTATTGTTATTATTGTAACTCCCCATAGCATGTTTCCCCTCCCATGTTGGTAATTGCTTTGTATTCGATTTCCGCTGTATATCTATAACTGCACAGGTTTATGTGGTGTCCAGTCTAGCCTCGTCACTACTTCGCCGGGGTTAGTCTAGACACTTACCAGCACATGGGGTCGGTTGTGCTAATGCTACACTTCTGTGCATTTTTGAACATGTCCAGGTTTTGAGGAACAGCAGCAGCAGTAGTTCGGAAGCAGGCGATTCATATTCACGAGACTGAGGTAGCCTTGCAGGCGTCCGCAGGCCCGGCGTCTCTTCTCATTGTTTTCTTTTAGACTGTTGCCTCCTTGTTTCGAGACAGACAGCTGTTATATTTCTTTCAGACCTTTGTATTTAGTTTATTCTTAGTGGTTCGTGAGTAATGTGACACCAAATCTTGGGTAGAGGTTGTTTTTGACTATTCCGCGTTTTAAATTCATCATTTTAAGACAGACTTCCGCTATTGTTCTTATTAGACTTTATGTTCTATATTGATGTTATAAACTGTTAAAGATAATTGCTAGTAATGGAAAGGTAATTAAGTTGGCTTGCCTAGCTACCACGAGTAGGCGCCATCACGACTCTGATGGTGGAAAATCCGGGTCGTGACAGGTGGACAATGACTTTTTAGCGCGTTGTTGATATTTATGTTCTCTCAAATTGTGTATGTGTGTGTGTGTGTGTGTGTGTCAATTAGAATGAAATAGATTTGGATAGGGTAAAAACATAGATGAATATAATTGCACTATTTGGGATTGCTATTTACACAAAATAAAGTGAATCACAAAATCATAAGGTAAGATTCATTTAATTAAGAATTACATCTAAGAGCTCATCTTCTTTAGTACATGTGCATCGTAGAAGAAAAATATTTAAAGTAGGTTACATGTATTTAATTATAACATATTAATCTGAACTATATCCCAAATGTATCATTTAAATTGTTAAAAATAATGTGACTTTAACTGTGTGGTTAAAATTGAGGTAACTAGCAAAATTATTGAGCAAATTACGATCCAACTG